TGTATTTCTTGGGTTTTATTTATATCTTTCCCTTTTTCATTACATTTAGTATTATTATTGTTATTATTAACATTTTTATTATTATTATATCTTTATTTCAATTATTAAACTGTTCTGATCTCAACCTATGGGGTTTACCTTCTTGCAACTCTTCCCCCCCAGCCCAATTCTCCTCCCCATTCAGGGCAGGGAAGTGAGCAAGCAACTGTCATACTTCATGGTCACCTGGGGTTAAACCACAAGGCCCTGCAGGAGATCTCGGCTTTTCAGTCTCTTCTGATCAAGTTAATAAATACATGAAATAAGACTTAATTGAATGTTAATGTTTACTCAGTAAAGGCGTGATTTTCTACAATGTTAAACTAGAACCTAATGTCGTTTTCAGATCTATTTGTTTAAGACGCCTTCATCAGCACATGCACAATGCTTTTGCTACTTGCTAAAACTTATTTGAGAACAGGCTGCACAGTAGCTGTTTGACCTGTGACAAGCAAGGCAAATTTATATTCTCAGGTTTGTTCTTTCTCAAGGCTATTTGTTTAGGTTCAATCATTCCCTCCTTTAGGAAGACTTGCCAGCAACTGGTTTGTTTTTCAGGTTTTTTTTACCCTCCACCTTCTTCAGCTTTCATTCTTCACATAGGATTGGTCAATTTGCTCAGTTCCACCTAAGCAACCTCTCTACCATCAAACTGGGCAGCTTGCTCAATTTCAAGTTAAGCAACACACTCACAGAAAACAAGTACCAGTATTAGAAAGACTTCAAACTTCTGCATCTCTGATTTAGTTCAAAATTATTTCTGATTTATATGCAAAAACAATATCTGATGATGAAAAAAGAACAGGCTGGAGTCAGATCTGTACACCTGTACACAAAGAAAGTGATTAGAATTCCACTCAGCTACCATTTCCAAACTAATGTCAGCAACTCCATTTTTGGAACACCTCTGTAACAGCTATTATGTGAGAAATAGTAATAGCTGTTGACAGGAGAAGTGATATTTTTGTTAACGTCATACTAGACAAAAAGCACGTCATAGCTCTACAAGAAAGGAAAATGATTCAGGTCTACCACCGTATGCTTTCCTAATTTCCTTGTGGCTCTCACCCCTTATGAAAGCTGCATCACTAAACATTTTTCAGCACATTCTCATGCAAAAATAAAGATTTTCACATTTCTTCCTCTTAAAGCTAGCTGAAATACCATTTTATCTATATTGCTAGCCACCAAGGTCCTTCTGAAAATTTAAGTCAAGACCTCTAAATTAGGAACTGTACCCTCTATTCTGTTAAATCATTGTGAAGTTTTTAGCAATTGGCCACTGAAACTCTTGTCTAAAACAGCAGCATAAACTCAAATATATTTATATACTTAGAAAATATATTAATATCCATCAGAAAAATCCATTACCTATTACCACACAAATATTTTTTCCCCTAAACTCAGATATGAGCATTAGTTTATTATTAACACTTAAGTAGAAGGTTTCAAAGTATGGAAACAAAGGGTGTGGACAAAATAGTTTGAATACTGTTACATTCCAGTGGCTTTCCAAAAACTTTCAACAGAATGTAGACAAGCAACATCTTGGATGTCTTACCTGTTTCTTATAGCTGTTACTGAAATACAAAAGCAATTAGGATGATTTTAAGGTTTTTTCAAACTCCAATTTCAGAATGTTTATATGCAAAGCAAACGGTTTCCATACAACTTCATAAAACATTTAGGACTGTCAACTTCAGGCTTAGCAACTCTTTTTTTCACCACAGCATAAAAAAAATTAATATGGAACTTTAATCCAAATTAATTTCATTCAACAGATTAAGTGTCATTGTATGGCTTTTGAAAGACTTTGCTTCAAATCCCCTAAAAGACATCTTTTCAATCCATTCTGCTAAAGAACTCTACCATACAGTTTCTCACACATGTTACTATCATAGCCATCATAGTTTTGTGCTACATAAAATTTAACAAGAGAACAGTTGTATAATTCCATAGTTGAACTCAATTGAATTGTTTAAGTATTCTATTCAGTGCCTCATCCCTATCCCAGATGAACTGAAGAAGACACATTTCACCACAAGGAGGCCAAAAAAAGAATCCTTAGGAGCACTGACCAGACTATCAGTTCAATATGGACGAGTAGTAAAAGTCCCTTTCTCAAGCTCCTTAGTGGGTAAACCACCAGCAGCATCAAGTTTCTAACAAACCACAGGACAGTCTGGTAAGGTAGTGTTACTGAATATTCTCCCTGTGAACTCTGATCCAGATAATCAGTGCCTGTCATTTTTCCCACCTTGTATAACTATTTTCACCTCTATGAAGTGTGCAACAGTTCTAAAAGCTTCTTGGAATTTTCCATCTACCTAGAGAAGTATAAAAGGCAGAGAAAAATCACGTTCCTAGACTGTACTTACAGGCTAGAGAAAGAAAAAAAAAAAAAGATAAGTCAACAAGACATGCTGTGATGACTTGCAAGCAAGCATGACTCAGAGATTAGCAATCATTGATTACCAAAGTGGTATTACTTATAAAATTGAATGGATAAAAATACAGGGAAATGAACCAAACTCACACCACAAAGCTGAACTCCTGATCGTACTTTGAGCTCCCCACTTTGATGAGACAAGAAAACCATTTAGAGGCTGACTAGAGTCAAGTGATTTTATTGTTTAGAATACCTATATAGCCATCTTAATGGTATTTATTTAAATATCATGTAAGTAAAATTTTAGGAATAAAATACTACAGACAATAAATCAAATAGCTGCATGAGGAAAAATGTAAAACCTTTTGGAAAAACACTGCAGATTTGGGATTTGGTTTTTGAAGCATCTTTATGAGGAGGCTATCTTTATACTGTTTGTGCTTAAAAATAAACACAGTAAGTTATTGCTGGATAAGTAGACTTTGATATTCCTACTTGTTTATCACAGCCTTCCTGTAGAAGGTTCCTTTGACAGATGGAAAAAGGATCATGGAAATTATGTTAACTCATTCAGCCTTCCACTACACTAGTGCCAGTGCTCTCAGTTTTCTTCCACTCCTTTTCTGTAGTCATTCATTTTCCTGACACAAAAAAACTAACACCTAAGAAGAATATATGATACCATCTATACTGAAAAGAAAACTGAGGAAAGCATTTTCAAGTAGCTAGAACAGATCAGCAAGCATACGCAGAAGAAAAATGTCATCTGGGAAGACCATGTTTACCTGAAACGGTTCCTGGGGGAGCAAACAGCAAAGCAATACCTACGATGTTATGACCTCCCCTCTCCAACTAGTTAGGAAGGCACTCTCCATTTCCTATCATTCAGGATTTTACAGAATTCTCAAGTTTTCATTCTATCAGGCAACTGAACAACAACAGAGTTTCATCTTTTCTAAGGTATTTTATGCTTACAAAGAACAACTCGATCAAATAAACACTATAAGGTAAAGGCTAAATACTATAGACCAGCTTGAATAATGCTCTTCCAGTTGCTGGCAAGTACAAGGATTTTCACTTTTTTTAGTTAACCACACCTATCTCTCACAAGTTACATTACCATCCTGTTTAAATACCACTCAGCATTCATTATTCTGAATAACCTTAAGATAACTTCAGCACTAGCCTATGAAACAAATAACACTTGGGAAAAACATTTACTATACAATGAGAGCTTTTTCGGGCTAAAAACAGCTATTGGAGAGGAACTCCAGTACCAAACATTGAGACAGACGACTCTTCAAAACCCAACGAATTATCTCTGCCCAAATGCAATACTGCGGATACCAAAAGCACTGCTTCCCTTCCATCCCGCTGGGATCTCGCTACTCCTGCCAGCTACCGGCAGCGGGGAGCGAGCCGAGCGGCGTCTTCCCAGGCAGGCCTGCCAGACATGTCCGGCCCCGGCAGCTGGGGGCGGCGGGGTCCCGGCCCAGGGACGGCGCGACCCGCGACGGGCAGGGCCCCCCGGCCCGAGGCCCTGCGAGCGGCCCCGCTCCGGGCGCCGACCCCCGCGGCACTGCCTGCCCCGCCCCGCCCCGCCGCGCTCACAGCCCCGCACTCACAGCCCGTCTCCTTCTTGATCTCCTCGATCTCCTCGTCCCGCAGCAGTGTGGACGCCCGGGAACCCATCGCGCCGCTGGGCCCGCAGGGGAGGGAAGGGAAGGAGGGAGTTACGCAGCCGAACAGCAGCGTCGGCGGAGCCACAGCCGCCCCCGGCACAGGCCCGACCGCGGCCGCCCCGCTGCTCTGAGGCGGAAGGCGAGCGCGCTCCGCCCGTCACCGCCCGCTGTCACCGCCCGCTGGCACCGCCCCCTGGCACCGCCCGCTGTCACCGCCCCGCCCGCCGCCTCCGCCCGGCCCGGCCGCCTCGTTCCGCCTCCGACCGCCCTCAGTGCCCGCTCGTGAGCCGCCCGCGCGGTTCTGGAAACCCTGTGGTGTGGAGGCAGAGAGCGGTCACTTAAAGCAACGCCTTTGGTGGTTTTTGTTCCTGATTAATAGTACTGCCGGCTCCTGCAGTCTGGCCTTGTTTTGCACATCACAGAACCGGTCAGGTTGGAAGGGGCCACAGAGGGTTATCTGGTCCAACTGCCCTGCCCAAGCAGGGTCATCCCAGAGCACGTTGCACAGGGCTGTGTCCCGGCGGTTCTTGAGTATCTCCCGTGAGGGACATTGCACAACTTCTCGTCTTGCTTGCTGCTGTCTTGTATTCTTTCTCCCTTTTAAGTAAGCCTAAGTTAACACATATTTGAATAGTGGCAGATCAGTAGCAGATTCGTGTGTTAATTTTTCAAATATATAATTTTAGGTACAAGAGTCTGCAGCTACATTTAAAGGCTGGTCACAAAGGTGTTTTATTCTATTGACATAGGGATGGACATTATTTGAGCTCTATAATAATAATTGAATATTTTTATATCAATATAAGGAAATTTATACTAAGAAGTCATATTTCCCAAGTATTCTTGACCTAAGGCTGCACTGTTTTAGAAATTAAGCACTCTTATGTGTGATGTCTTTCAGTGAGGTGAATGTTTGCATACTTTTTGGGGAGGGTTGTTTTTGGGTTTCTGTTTTGGGAGGGAGTTGTTTGGTTTTTTTTAGTTTTTGGTTTGGTTTTGGTTGGGGTTTTTTTGTTTGGTTTGGTTTGGTGTTTTTTTTTTTTTTTTGGTCCCGAGATGCTACCATTTTTTATGATTTTATAACTTGCATTTGATTACAGTAAAGTTTCAGTGGCTGCAACTGTTTTACGCGTTGGTCAACTTGTATAATTGCCCTCCAATTACAGTAACTTAATTAAAAATTACAGTAATGTATCAAATACTATTGAATCAATGTAAATACTTACAGATATTTAAACTCTGTGGTTCTTGGGCTTAGGTCGGGTACTTCATTCTTTGTACTTTGAACCCTAGCTTACCTTAAGATTGTTGCTGACCTTTGCAGTGAACACCACCTTCAGGTTCTGCTTTCACCCTTTATTTTCAGAATAAATATGAAATTTTATCTGAAATAAAGGCACTTTTGTGCAAAATAAGCTTGGGTGTTTTTTTGTGCAGCTTCAGGATCTTCTGTAAGAGCCATGCACTTAGCACCAAGGGGTTGCTTCATATGCAGCAGTTCGTTTTCTGAACACAGGTAGGGGGTATTGGATGAAATATTTTTCTTTGCACATTTTATCAGCATGGAAATCTTAATAATCTTTTGACGTCTGTGTTATGTATGGTTGCTTTGCTCGTTCAGGTGCACTTCAGCTGTTGAAGAGGACAAACAAGTAGCCACAGGCAGCAGGTCACGGCTCACTGAGTTCTCCTTGCATTTCCTTAGAGATCCAGCTCAGAGCCTCAGACAGTTCGAAATACTCCCTCTCAAGTGATGTGGATATTAGTCAAGCAATGTAGTTAGTCTTTGTCAGATAATGTCTTTCCCAGAGGCTGTTATCTCTTGGTTTGCCTGTATCAGAACAGAACGTATTCTGAAAAAGCAATGGTCACAGAAAAGTAGGTATAGAGCTCCTTATCTTCAGACATCAGAAGGAAACTCACCTGCTTTCCAGAAGGTTTATCCTGTAGCTCTTGTCAACTGTAAAAGTGGCTGAGCAGCACAGCTGATCTTTTGGAGGAAATTAAAGTGCTTCAGCCAATGAGCATTTCTCTCTGGTGACTGTTTTAATCTTATACTTGTTCCTGAAATGTATGTGGTGTGACAAATAACACAAAGCTCAGTAAGAGATTGCTCTTTGAATCTGTGCTGGCTGTCAAGTGCTTGCATTGATTTGGACATGTGGTTCCTGCTGTAACATGTATGCAGGTGTGTACAGACACAGATGCAGATCCAAAATCAGCTTGTTTTGTTCTCATAGAGCTGTGACAAGAGTACAAGATCTGTACAGGCTAAAGAAAGGTTAGTTGCATTTACCTGGGTAGTGGGGGAGAAAATAGAATCATAGAATGTTTTGGGTTGTAAGGGACCTCATAGGTCATTTAGTTCCAGGGACACCTTCCACTAGACCATGTTTCTCAGAGCCCCATCCAGCCTAATTTTGAACATTTCCAGGGATAGGACATCTGCAACTTCTTTTATATAAAATACATACAGCACTTTGGTAATTTTACAGTGATCTTCTGTTTGTATATTCTCCACCACTGAGATGCTATTTCACTGTCCATTCACTTTTATATTTAACAATTCAGATACCAAAAGTAACAAAAAATGAGCAAGGGTTGATGTGATCTGTCTGTTAGTTCTGTCTTGCAACAGTCTTTCTTATTCCCTAGACTATTGAAGGCGAGAGCTGTGACATCTCTGAAAATATTAAGACCATGTTCCATTCTGCTAGAAATCACACACAGTGAGACAGGATGGACAAGAGAGAGAGTGAGAAAGTGAGAGAGAGAGTTTATTTCAGGGGGTCAGCTAGCTTACATGTGGTAGAGCATGGAATGTGTGGAATTTGGGAGGATTTTAGGGAGTTTCATACCAGGAGGTGTCTATAAATGGAGAAATTAAGCTAAACACATCCTAATAAGGGTGAGAAAGATAGGAAAAAGCTATAAATTTTAACTAACAGGGCCAATGAGCATAGGGGTTACAATCAGCAGATAGCGACAGGGTTAACAATAATTGAAACTGCAGGTTACATAAAGCAGGATTTTTTCTAACAACATTGTTACTAAATTGAATAAACATAACACTTTTATAACATGAAAAGCAGTCTCTGAGAGTAGGAAGTTATCTGTTGTCCAGTAGTTTAGCTGCATTCCAAAGCTTCTTCTCTTCAATTCTCCTTTTCTTCAGAGATTTTTCTCCAGTAAGAATATATTTCTTGTGGTGAACTTCCTACACTAGACAAGCCTGAAAATTAGGATGCTTGCTTTTTTTTTTTTTTAATGGACGTAATTTTTTTAACTGAAACAATTTTTTTTTCATTTAAGTATCATAAGGACAAAAAGTAATGCTGCAACTCACTTTTAAACAGCCAATTTTTTGTTAAGAAACAGAATTGGGGTCATGCTCTAGACTGTGTGCATTTGAATCAGTTTCGGGAATCTGGGTGTGTTTAGGAAGAAGAGAGGGAAGAACTGAATAGCCCAACCAGAGAAGTAGAGTGATTCTACACCTAAAATACATTCCTAGTGCAAAGTGCTTTCAAGTTAGAGGAAGTGTCTAATGATTTTTTTCCCTTTGTTTTAGAGAAGAAGGAAGAAGTGAATGAAAGAACAACAGCTGTTTGTTTCCAGCAGAAATTTGGCCCTGCAGTAAGTACTAGTGAAAGCTCTTATGCCATGTATATGACTTCTAGGCCAGTTCTGTTCTAATTGTCAATACACTTTGGCAGACTGTGGTGAGATTTGAGTAACAGATAGTAAATGGCTTCTTTAAGTCATGTAGAAATGGTATCTCTGGTGGCATCAAAGAATAATTAAAGTGTGCATTAGATTGCACTGCATGCGAGACTGCAGTGGATGTGTACAAATCTGCATCAGTGTGCGTTGGCTGCTGGTTTCAGACCCTGTATCACCCACCAGTAACTGAGGTGAAGGGTCAGTATTACTATTTAGTGAACACTTATTTGGCTTAGGAAAGGAGCAACATGAGGATTTGTTGTGATTTGGAGAGGAAATTGTGTTGGTTTTGCAGGTGTTTGGAACTCCAGAGATGACTGGACCTATTTCTCTTAAATCATGTACAATAAAAAAGCAGACTTGGTAGAATCATGGAATATCCTGAATTGAAAGGGACCCACAAGAAACATTGAATGTGGCTCATAACCCTGAGAATCACACCATGTGTCCAAACGCTTCTTGAACTCCATCAAGTTTGGTGCTGTGACCAGTTCCCAGGGGAGCCTGTTCCAATGCACAACCACTTTCTGGGTGAAGAACCTTTTCCTAATATCCCACCTAAATCTCCCCTTACACAGATTCGTGCCATGTCCTCAGGTCCTATCACTGATCCTCAGAGAAAAAGAGATCAGAAAGGCTTTGTTTAAGAACTTGGAATCAATTATAGATTTATTATTAAATTTAATAGTATTTTTTAGATCCTAAATTAGACCAGCAATACTATAGGGTCCTCCACGCTGTTTTGTCTTGCAGTATCATGGAATGGGATTTGGGCTCTTATTTTGGTAAACCTATTGTAACTACAAAAGAAGAAGCTCTTTCCCACGGGAAGACATGTCTCTGCTTACAGAGGAATCTAACTGTTGCTTTAAAAAGAAGCTGGCTTTTTTATTTCCATTTATGCCTTCTACTCATGTTAAGTGTGCACTACAGGTTGCTTTTCTTAATTGTCTGAAATTTTTTTGTGTCTATGAGAGTAACGGTTTTTTCTTTTATATCTTAGAAAATGAGTTTTCCTTTTTTTCTAAGAGGAACACCTGCTTTATGTAACACTAAGGAATTTACTAGAACCTACTTTGGAGACTTTCTTGGGAAGAGTTCAGGGGAGTCTGTGTTCTTTAGTTATCCATATCCCTGCTAGACCTTTCATTGATGCTTCTAGCTGTGGAATTTCCATCTGTCAGTCTGTAACTGAAACAATGCTGTGTCTTTTTCTCATGGATTAGTATCTGAGATCCACTGCGGTTTTGATCTGTATTTATCTTTTCAAATATGACCAGAAAAATCACAGTTTACTATTTTTCCCTCTGCTTATCATCCTCTGGTGCTATTTATTTTATCCCTGTTTTCTTCATTAGGTGCTGCACCTAAAACAGCAGCGTGTTCTCAGAATAGCAGGAGAAGGTGTTAATTTGTGTCATCATGGAAAACTCTCATGGCCTGAAGTAAGAGACAGATACTTGCCAAAATACGTTACTAAACAGGGGCGTAATTGAGAAACATTTGAGGATTGCCCCGTGTTTAAGACTTACATAACTGTTCTGGTAATGGATATGTTGTCCTTTAAGAGAGATTAAGTATTTCATAAAAGACCTGTTACAGAAAGAATTATATAAGGTAATACAATAATGACTAAACTTGTGTGTAATATATACATTTGTTTATAACAATGCAACAAATTTGGTTGGCATACTTGTATACAGGTAGAGCTATTGCAGTAGTACAGCTGTTGCCTATTAAAAAGCTGCAAGACCTAATCACAATGCCAATATAATTGAAGGTGTAAAATCCATCTAAAGATGATACTGTGCTTTAATAAGCTGTGACTCTCTGAAGAGGAAGAGCCAGAAAGGAGAATAGCTTTATGTGATAGCTCAAAATCATCTTCACTTATTTTTAAATAGATTTAAAAGTGTGTTTATCCAAAGCAAAAAATTGTGTGGGAGTTCATACTTCAGATTTAACTCTTTTATGCAGAAGTGTCCACAAAATGTTTGCTTTGGTATGGCTAAATTGCTTTCAGCTTTGTTAAAAAGCTTTCTGCTTCTGTTAAACCATTATGAATTTGAACATATGCAAAATTTAAATTTTGTGACCTGTTTGAAAGGCTAGGATGGAAGATGATGTCCTTTATTTCTTTGGTAGTGGTCTTTGACAATGAAACAAATGTCATGGGCACAAGAATTTTGTTGGAAGTAAGTCTGTAAAAATGTCACCATAATAGGTGTAGATATTTGTTTTAAGTAGCGTGCTCTTGATATGTCTCAAAATGCTTTTTTTAACCATGTACAGTAGACAACTGTATTGCTCTTTCCAGTTATTGGGAAAGTCTCTGAGCACCTCTGGAAAAAAGAAAACTTGTTTATGAATTACCACTAAGAAAACTAAACCCACTCTTCCCCACATAAGCCTGTACACAGGAGTTTATGGCTTAGGGCAACAGTGCAGTTTCTCCTGCTTGCAAATCCTTTGTTCTTCTGTCCCTCACTCTCTGCAACTGAATTTGTTCTAGATAGTAACAAAGAGGCATGTTTTTCTATTTGATATCTTCCTTCGGGGACCTCAGGCTTTCAAAAATGGATTAAAAATGGTTCTTGAAGATAAAAACATCTTGAAGGTAAGGACACAGGGTGTGTAAGGACATTTGTGGTTGCAGAGGTCCTATACATATATAATAATCTAGCTGCACCAAGAAAATTGCAGTTGGACACAGATTTCCTTGATAGCTCTATTGCTTCAGGTCATACATGACTGCTGCTGTGTCTCACTCTGTCTCTTTCACCAGTACAGTGTCCTTCAGTGTCTTGGATACACAGGTACCCTTCAAACATTCTTGTTGGGAACAAAAGCTTCAACAAGAGAAACTTCAGGGCATTTTCTCAAATAAGCTTTAACATTACTAGAATGTAACAGTTGTTGAACTGTGTAAATGTTGTGGTTTTGTTCTAGATGAAATGAAACAGCAGGCAAGGCTGATAGTGTTATTTAGAACCTTGTGCAGACCCATTTCAAAAGGTAGATAAGATTTAATATTAGCAGCAAGTAAGTCTACTGTGGTAAGATGTGTTAGCTGGTTTTGTTCAAACTTGAACCAACCTGAGGCTACAGTGACTTAACAGGAGCCTGGTCGGATTGGGTTTTATATTATTTGTTATCCTTTCTGCCCTTTCACAAGTGTAGAAACAGATTCAGACCACATGTATCCAGTGCTGGGATCATCCGCAGGGTGAAAGAACAGGCCAGGTTATCACAAAAATCTCTTTCTGCTGGTGCTGGCTCTAGTAGTTGTGGTAGTTAATATGTGACTAACAGGAGAATCAGAGCCTTCTGAGAGAGAATAAAGTAACATAATGGCAATGATCTTCCATAATGGGCACAGATATGTTATACAGTTATGTATGACTTGTCCTTGCATGTATGCTGACTTTTCATTTCATAGATATGACTGCCTATAGTAACCCCTCAAAGCTCTAATCTGGGCTACTTAGGAAGCTTTATAAGGCTGATTAAATATCAGCCCGTGTAAAGTCTTGACTATATGAAAAAGATAGGGCTGAAAATTCCCACCAGTGCTCCCAACTGTACTGGCTAGAACATGTAACTGATGCAGTGGAAATAATTAACCAGAACTATCCACCCTAGGGTCCAAGGTACACAGAATTGCACTCATTGTTTTGTTGTCTTGGTATGAGCTGACACACATGCTTTTTGTGCACTGATAGATCTCTAGGCTTAGAGATACAATTACTCTGATTTGTTGGCCTGAATTCTACTTCTAATGTAAGTAAGCTACTGATGTAGTCTGATTTTGGCCACCCTGTAGTGTGCATGATATTGTGGAATTAAGCTGTCTCATCTACCACTCTCTACTGCTGCAACAAATAAGTGGGAGATAATTCTGAGCAAATTCTCACAGATGCTTTTTGTGAAGCACTTCTTAGAGACATCTTCCCAGTGTTGTTAAAATGGGAACAGGCTGTGTGCACAAGTGAGATTCTGCTCAAAAAAGGCGGCAATGGAGTTTAGAACTCTGGATTACATGGGATCCTGCCTACATAATTTGAAAAATGTTATCCCTGGGTTTGGCCAGTTGCTACAACTGTTTATTCCTTACCATAAGTAAATTAATAAAATTAACACACGATATAGAGGATGGCAGTGTACTGATGTTCACTGTCTTTCCCAGTGATGTTCCTATAGTACTTAAACATCACCTATTGAAGTAACTTTTAATGATAAAGTTTGTGGAAGTTTGATACTATTTCACATTTTACTTCCTTGGGGGTGGGAGATGTGTCCCTGTTGGGCTATAGCACCCTAAAAAAGCTGAATAGTGAGCAGGCAGCTGGCTGCTGTCAGTGCTTATAGACCTAACAGTGCCTTCTGTGGCACTTCTACGCTGCATTAGGAGGCTGGAGCATCCTCACGCTCTGAAATTCTTGCCTGTTGTAAGATGTTGTTGGTTGTATACCTGTCTACTACCAAAAGAAATACCATAATTCTTTCTAGAGGTGCGTGCTGGAAAAAATAAAGAAAATTTGACAGCTTGAGACTGTCCATAAGATAGAAGTCCATGCAAGGTTTAACCATCAAATGTACAAGTGAAGAAGTCACTGTTGCTGTCTGATTCCACAGATCAATGAATATGCACTACTTTTTAGCATGCTGTGGGTTTTCTGCTCTTAAATCCATTAGCATGCATTAGACTTTGGACAAAGAATTTCACAGTGAAAGCTAAAACATTGCTTTCGTCGAGGGAAAGTTTATTCTATAACCTTGTTCATTCAGGTTAGAGTTTTTATTAATCCTGATCACAAAGATGCTTTCATTTCTGTTTAAATATTTAAGTATTTTCTCTTCTTATTTGGAAAGCATTAATTTTTTTTTTCTTTTACTAGAAACTCTCTAACCATCTAGAATATATTTCTACAGATTTGAACATCATCTTTGTTGTGATTTTGAGTAAAGGTAACTGACTGCTTGAGAAGGTCTATCCTGAGGTTTCTCTTCATCTGCATTTTGCCACTGAAAATGAAAAGCTAGAGAAGGTTTTAGTGGTCAGAAGTAGAATACAAAGGACTGTTCAGTAAGAAGTGATGGAAACTTCCTCTTTACCTAGTGATTTATGCTTGTAATCCAGTGAATGTCAGGTCTACCTGGATCTTCTCAAATTTTCTTTTTCTTTTCAGTGAACTCATAGTTTTGAATTGTTCCTTTCTCCACATATGTTTCCTGCCATTTTTCAGCTGGTGGTTGTAGTATTCTTTGGACTGCAGCAATGTAGCCAGTCTATCAGAAATATAGGTTGTCCTAGGTTCTCTGTCCTACCACAGAACAAGGCAGACTTTTGCATTTTCTTCATAGTACCTTCCTACAATCCTATTCCTTAGAAAATCAGTAAATGTATTGGCTTAGCGCTTTCTTCTAGTAGGCTTAGCAAATACATGGCTTTTGTCCTAGAGAAGGCAGTAGTTATCTATTTAACTGGTGCCTTAGGGTCAGCTTTAGCATTATTAAGTCATACCAGGTTCTTTACCTTTGCTATTGGACAGGAATAGATTATTTTTTTTTTCCACCGAAGACTTTAGAGATAAGTTAGGAATGGAGGGGGAGGGAGGTTAGTCTTGGAATTTACCCTCACTATAAGAGGGCCAGTAGAGGCCAATTACAATTCTGTGATCTCTACTGTAGGGGCTGAGCTGGTGCTGCCAAGACTTACGTGGGCAGGTCTAGGTAGCACATGGGCAGCATGTGCCAGAAAGCTCAAACAGTGGCTCTTGCAATAAAATCAGGCTGACCTGTAAACTCATGGTGGTCTTGGTGGGATTGTAGGTATCTGCACTGAGTGTTGGCTTAAGGTTTCTCAGGAGATAGTAGTAAGGACAAAAAGGAGAAGTCAGTGGGAATTTCAGGGGACTTGAATGGGAATCTGGGCTTTTGAGTAGTGGAGGAAGTCAGAAGGGTAGGTTATTCTAATGACAGACAGCTCAGTCTCAGATTTTGACTGTGAATGCAGGTTTTTATTTTTTCCTCTCCATTCCCCTGATGAGTGGATTCTCTTCCAGCATTCCTTTTCCACTGGGCTGTCAGGGCTGTTCCTGCTTTTACTGCAAACAGGTAAAAAGGATGAAACCAGGGTTAGAAACAAGCAAATGCCATGACATGCAGTTGGTGCTGGAAGCTGTTGCCTGCTCTCTTTCTGGCTCTATGTGCTATCAAATATGAGTCTTACTGGCAAAATCAGGTTTGAGGCAAAAGGTTTATGACAACTTACATATTCTTTCGTCATGTTTTCTTTATATTGCATAACTATTTTAGGGTTTGGATAAAAGGCAAAACCATAAGTATCCTTGGAAAGCATCAGTGTATGTTTACTCTTTCCTGGTACTACTCAGCTAGAAGGAGCTGTAGACATATTGTTGTATCCAACATAAAATTAAGTCATTCTTAAAACTTAATTTACCTTTTATGTAACTTAACAGCTTTAAGGAGTCAAATTACTATCTCTGCAACTGTATGCAGTCAAAATGTTGGATAATTTGTTTTGTAGCATACTTTACTTCTAATTTGCATCTCCACTGTCAAACCTCCCCGTTCTTTGCCTTGGGTTAATGGACGTTGGTCATGGCATATTGATCCCTTCCATCAGAGGCTGCTGATGCTCTGCAGTTTTCAGTGACTACAGGTGCCTTCCTTCCACACGGTGTCTGCACATTACAGGAGTGTTTGATGCAGCCCTTGAAGATACCTTCCAAATGGAATGCCATTCTGAAGTGCAGGCAGCAGCTGACTTCAATGAGTGATTCAGTGAAGTACCTTCTGAAGACTCACTTGTGAGCTGTGCTCTGCCCATTTTGAGATGCTTCTCTCAGTTTGCTTTTTTTAAGAGCGTGGCACTAAAAAATGAATTGTGCAGATAAGGACATTTTGTAACAGTGACTTGGGAGACGTGTAAGCTTTAGTTGGCATCAGGGCTGGTATTTCCTAATAGCTCATTTGAAATTGAAGTTTTGAAGAACCACAAAGCTTGTACAATAGAGGATATATACAACTTGGGCGAAAAAATGTTCTGGATATAGTAGTATATTTGACTAATTCTGAAACCTAGTTTCAACAGAGCAAGTTGGTTACAATGAATCCTGAGTCAATCAGACAAAAACAGAACTTTTATTACCAGCACTATTAGAATGAAAAAATACTTGTGTAGTTGAGCAGCATTTGCCAAATCGTTACTCTCTATTGTCCTTGTTTTTGTTAATCTTTCAGATGGGGACAAGCAAGGGAAAACTTGATGGGCCAAGAGCTCCTAAGATTTGGGGAACATAATCTTGATAAATAGGCTATGTCATATGAAAGGGACCTACACTGAGCATCTAGTCCAACCAGCTCTTCCTTCATACTGGTCTTGTAACTTCCACAGTAAATATGAGTGGTTTTGCACTGCCTGTTCATAGAATTAAAATCTTTCTCAAAAGCCTGGATTAAATGCTATTTAATATTGCTATAAAAGCTACTCACTGAAACCTGTAATTTGAACACAGCATTATTTTTATGTAAGTTTTAGAATTCAATAGTGTCTCTCAAAATTTCTATTTTGAGAACTCTGTATGGCAAATCTAAGCTGAATGACATGCCTTCCTTAGTTTATCATCCTATTGCTCTGAAGACTAAAAGTGGAAAATGACTGTGTAATATTAGTGTAATAAGTATGCCAGTGTAAACCATTCTGTACTGATAGTTTTGCTCAGGGTATCACGGTCACGCATTTAACTGGCACTTATTTTCATGTTCTTCTAGTTTCAGTTGTGATTGCTGAAGATGTTACTATCATGGGAGGGTGGGTTTTTTTCCATTTAGATCTTTTAGCTCAGCTCCAAGGAATCCAACCTAGTTTCAGAGACAGATGAGAGACAACTAGCATTAAACACTGGAATAGGTGTGTTTTGGTTTTTAGTTTGTGTTTTTGTTGGTTGTTTGTTTGTTTTGGGGGTTTTTTTGTTGGGTTTTTGTGGTTTTTTTAAGGAAGCAATCTCTCCTTCCAAGCTTCTGCTTCTCTAATCACCACAGGTTTGTACTCAGATGGCCCCAGAAGCTGAAAGCATGCAGTAGCACTGAAAGTAAAGATCAGCATCAGGAAATATGTTGTAAACTGCAGAAGAATGTGATAATAAGCTTTGTTAAATTTTTTTTTACTTTAATAACTGTCCTGGTTTTGGCTGGGAGAGAGTACACTTTCTACTTAGGAACTGGTACAGTGCTGTATTTTTTGGATTTGGTATGAGAACACACTGATGTTTTGGTTGCTGCTTACCCTAAGCCAAGGACTTTTCAGTTTTCCATGCTCTGCCAGTGAGGAGGTGCACAAAAAGCTGTGAGGAAGCATGGCCAGGACAGGTGATCCAAACTGGCCAAAGGGATATTCCATACCATAGAACATCATACCCAGTATTTAAACTGGAGGAGTTACCTGGAAGGGGGCCGATCGCTGCTTGGGGATGGGGTATTGTGCAGCACTTGTTTCTTTTGGGTTTTATTCCTCTCTTACCCTCTCCTTACCATTACTATTATCATTAGCATATATTATTGTTGTTGTTATCATTATTATTATTATTATGTTTTGTTTCAATTATTAAACTTTTTTTATCTCAACCCACGGGGTTTACCTTTTCTTTTCAATTCTCCTCCCTTCTGTGAGGGGGTCTGAGGGGAGTGAGCACATGGCTGCATGGTATATAATTGGTGGCTGGAATTAAACCGTAACAATAACTGTTTTCATTTGCATTGGCATATACAGGAGAATCCTGACATATGGTTCTTGAGACCCTTTCCAGCTTGTCTGCTTAAAGCACTGGTTCTGAATGCCGTGCACCTCCTGTTGCTCCACTCATCTCTAATGGATAATTTGATGTGTGATCTATCAGCTGTATTAGATGGTTATTTTAATGCTTATTGGACTGTCCTGGAGATCACCTTGTGAGCACAAAGGTGGGTATGTCTCTGTTTGTTTCTCTGGCAGTGATTTGCTCTAAGGCTCTAATGGATAAACTCTGGAGGACCGAGCTACAGCAGCTTCCTTTTCGCAGCACTTACACCCTCCTGTATGCTACATACCTTGTTTCCTGCATGCTGCAGCAGAAGTGATGGTGTCTGTATCTACCTAGCTCCATTTGGTATTAGTTCTTGAGCAGAATCCACCTCAAGTTAGCCTAGAGGATGGTGAGTCGCAGCTGCTAAAGCATGGGCACAGTCACCTGTGCCTTCTGTTTGCTCTCCTTGGAGCCTGAGAGCGTCTGGGCTCAACAGGGGCAGTGTACATGTGAGGACATGAAGAGTGACAGGCAGGTGTGAAGTGTTGGTACCTGGAGCTGACGGGGTTGCTTTGTTTTGGCAAAAAATGTTTAGTCCCCACATCTTGTTCTATTTTTCTGCAAATCTGTAATTTTTACTGCTGAGCTGTTTTGCACACACTGGGTGTTTCTGAGTAACGTTTGTTAACCAAAGATTTTTATTTCTGTAAAAGCATCACTGAGTTATCTGGTCTTCCTAATTTATTCTCACTTTTGTTATTTAAAAGTAACATTTTTCATCTTTCATAACATAGAACCATTAGTACTGCATGCCTTGGAGTAGCTGGATGGTGGACACTTCTGTAATTGTTTATTAATTTTCAATGCAGGAAATGCAGGAAATGAGATTTTTGGTGAAGGAGCTTGACTTCTTGCACTGCTGGAAAGAACAGGTCCATGCAAAACAAACAAGCAGCAGTATTGGTGTGGCTTTTCTCTGCCTTCTCAATGAAATAATCTTATGAGGGCTTGCAGAAACTATGTAAGATATTGTTGGTATTAAATTTGGGTGCAAAGTGCATGGTCAAACATCCTCATTCATCACAAAGAGACTGAACTAACATGATTAAATCCTTTTAGTGCCTCATTTTTGCAGTTGTAAATGTCTTGAAATATTTATTAGGGAAAAAGAATGAAGTTCTATCTTCACGAAAGAAACTGTGGTTTGTTTTTTTTTTTTTCCACTGGTTTAACAAAGCACTGAAGCACAGACTTGAATCCTTTGGGAGTTACTTAAGAGCTCAGAGCAGTAAATCCCATTACTGAGGATTTAGGAAAAGATTAGATAACACAAGAGATCGTAGCTGCTTCACAGATACAAAAGAAGAGGTCATATCTGAAAACCTTTTCTCTTTAGAGGAAAGCTGCCAAAAAAAGAAGGTTGTTCATAGTTCATGAAAAAAAAATGAGCTGGACATGTGAATTTCCAATGTGCAGTGCATGCAAAAGTAGGCATGACACAAGGGAAAAGAACAGACTGTTAAAGTGAAGAGTACAAATTCTGTTTTGCTTTGGGCTACTTGCTTGTAGAATTCTTAAAGTGGTATTCAGGTTGTTGAAGACAATACCTTTGTAAATCTATTTATTCCGTAAGATTAGCCAGGGAATTAATTCGATCCTGAGTATTTCAAATGCCATTTTGAAGATCCATTTAATATAACATCTGGTAATCGTACTTCTTGCATTTTAAAGCTGTTGCCTTCTGAAGCAACTGCTTTAGAATTCTAGTACAGGGAGTAAAAGTAGCAATTTTCATCATAATTTCACTGTTAATCATTTTCTGTTGTTTATCTCATAAAAGTTTCTTCTGCTTCATTTAAATCTGCTTGCAATACATATTTAAATGCAAAATATGTAGTGTGATATAGTTAAATCTTGTCTATTACTTCTGTTTCTTCACTCAGTAAGTAAAAAAGTTAAGGGAATCCTTTGCAAGTTGATGAGTTCAGCTAAATCCATTTTAAGACAAGAAGGAAAAAAACACAAACCTTTAGTTTCTGCAACTTCTAGGTTTTCTGGCTAAGTCTGTCTTATTTCCTTAAATCAAAAAATCTTTATCCAGATCTGATTTCAGAATAAAGTAATAGTCAAAATACTTACACCCCCCTCCCCCCCCATTTATTGTAGTGCTTTTTCATGGTTATTTAGAAGTTTATGCACCACTACATTGTGCCTTCTGTACACTTTGTGGAGCAACATATGAAAGTTACCTGGAAAAGGCTTTCGGTGGGCTATTTTGCTTTTTACAGTGACCGGTTACAATTTACACTTGTGCTCCTCCTCAGGCTCTTGGTGAACAGCAGTCTCGTGCAATGAGCTTGACTTCACTTTGGAGCTAGTCTCAAACAACAGCAACACGGGACTCCCTGTGCTTGATTACTGTGTTCTCCAGATGGGATCTGTTGCAGTTCCAATGCTACTGCAGCATTGTAGTGGATCTCCTTGGATTCTGATACCTGCACCAGGGAAAAATGTTGGAAACTTGAAGTATGTTATCTACTATGCTCTCTCCTTTCTGGAGAACTGGGGGAGAGACCTCTTTTGCTGAAGCAGTACTGCAGCAAAGCTGAAGATAATAAATGCTCCAGCTGCTAAATTGGAAGGGGGACATCACTCCTGAGTGAACAGGAACCATCTGTGGTACATCAAGCCCTTATCTGAAAGTTGTGGAAGTCACTAGGCAAGAGAGTCTCCAAGTTACCATGGCTTCTTTGATTTATAGGCACTTGGAAAAGATGACCAGATCAGGAAACTAACTTTCGTTACTCCAGGTAAGGAAGCTTCTCCTGGGTACTTCTCTGTTCTTCTTTAGTTTCTGGACTGTGCTGTCTGAGCAGAACCACCAGCTCTTCAGCCTTTTGAAAAAGGTAAAGTTAATTACGGAGATATGTCTTCTACTGTACCTCTGGGCTACAGAGAGGTTTGAGTATGTCCTGCCTGACTGGAGCAATGAACAGAGCTGTGCTTCCCTGGGCTGCTCTTGTTTCCTCTGGTCTTATTGATGACATCATGTCACACAGAAGAATGCTTTTTTTTTAAATTCTCCCATTCCCCCAAACTTATGACATGTAAACTATACTTACAAAACAAGTGCAGATGCAGTTTCAATCATGAGACTTCATTAAAAATCAAGTACTGAAGCTGGATGGGTTACAGTCACACTCCTTCCCATCTCTAGCTTTCACATGTTGAATCTCAGCTCCTGGATCAGGGTTTACAACACTGAACTTCAGCTTTGACTAGCATGGAAACATCCACCTAATCTTTCCCAGCTCACTGCCACATCCAGTTCATAATGCCAACAGATTTTGTGTGTAATAACAGCAGCAGGATATACATGATAAAAAAGATGCTTTAGCTTTCCAGTCTGAGGTGCCTGTAAATCAAATAAAGCTGAGTAACAACCAGTAATGACTACTGGAGCAGTTACCTACTCTCTCATTCTCTTGTCTAGTCAGGATATTCAACCTATGGAAGCAGATCAGAACCAGATTCTCTTTTTTCTCCTCTTGGAAATAGCAGCAAGCGAAAGTGAATATGCATAATCATGGAGTAAAAGCCAATCCTGTTCACTTGCCCTTATGGATCAATGCATCCCCTGAGAGCTGGGGAAAGACAAATGTGAATAAGGCTGATGAATGTAATTGTCACCACTCTTTCTTGGGCTCTCTGTGCCCAGCCGCTGCAGTCAGTTTTCCATGTGCATATCTTGTTCCTCCCTGATAAGTTTCTGTATCCTCTAACAGGCCCCCATTAGTGGCAAAATACCAGAATCACTTTTTGGCTAAATGCACAGCTCCTACTAGGGCCAGATCATCCTTGTGGCCTTCAACATATTCAGGAATGCTTGATTACAGACTTATGCATAATTGCATGTGTCTAACTTATTAGCACTGGCAAAGTACTGCCAGTTGTCCACAGCAGCCACAAATAATAATGCAACACTCTTGCTGATGTAGGAGAGAATGAAAAAAAAAACCAACCAAACAAACAAAAAACCAAAACAAAACAGAGAAAACAAAATAAAAAGGAAATAAAAAGAAAGGCATCTCATTTCTCCCAATGGTTTAGGAAATGTATGTTGACATTTTCTGTGGTTTCTTTGTCATCACCTGCAATTGGTAGTTCCGTCTTCTGAATAGTGGGCACACCCTCATAAGCAACTGACGTTTTACCCACAAACCAGATGCAAAGCAGTAACCTCTGATAATCAGCACTTTTTTATCGAAACCCTCACTTCCCTCTTCAGCATTTTTCAAAAACTGATAATCCTCCTTGCTGCTGAGGGGAAGAACCCAACACAAACTTCTCACTCTGAATGTCTCTGCAGTTTCCTGCACTTTTGGCATAACTGTCTGCTAGCAGTAGTTCTTCTTGTGGATGCAGGCCCCCAGTAAAATGGGTGTCTGTGGCTCTGCAACTGTCACTAGGAAAGAGCTAGTAAAGGAGCTACATGTGCTACAGTTCTAACTCTCCTCGTAGATTCATACTGAGTGTTGTTAGGTACTTGGAAATGCAGACATGTTCTCATGTTTAGGACTTAAATTCAAAGAAGCAAACACAGCCTGGGAACCCATCAGTGTAGAGAAGCAAATGTTCTAGAAGTGTAGAGCCTTCTTGTTCAAGTGGTGATAGTTCACACTCAGAACTCTAGGATACCACAGAGCATACCCTGCAGAGTTGATTTCCCCAATGCACTTAAGGTAAAGCTGCAGTAGACAAAGTGCAGTGCAGCATAGTATACCAGACAACACATTCATGACATGTGATGGCATAAACTCTGTTGTTTAAATATTTCTCCTGAACTAGAAGTTTTCTCAATTGGCAGGTGAGTTGGGACTACACACAATGCATATTAATCTTTATGAACATACAGCCTGAATTTTCTGCAACTTGGATTTAAATGGCTTGGGGCATGGATTACCCCTCACTGTAGGGTACAGCAGCAGTTAGGAAGATGGACATGCAGCATTCTGGTTACACTGAACTGACAGTGAGATGTTTTCAAGTAAGTGCTGCCTCTGCTTTTTTCTGTAATCCTGTCTAAATTATTCATCCTTCCTCTGGATCTGTGCAAATTTTTAAACACAGGTTTGTGAGGCATGGCTTCCCTTTGTAGACATTGTGGTAATTCTTTTCCACTGCATCACACATGTATATCTACTGATCTGTTATTAGTGTTTCTACCAATGTGCTTATACAGACATCTGACTTACCGGCATGTTGTTTCCCCTGTCTTTCTTGAGACCTTTAAACATTTACCAAGTTCCATCCCTGGCTATCAAGGCAGGTTTTAAGCAAGATACTATAGTTATCTGGCTAGTTCATCTTCCACTGTTCAGGAATTTTAGGTGAAATCCACCATGTTATTCGGATTTCAAGTATCGGTTTTAAACATTTATGGACAATCTGAAACCAGTTTTTGAAACATAATGAATAGGTTTGGTATGGGAATCTCCATTTTCATGCTGAATGAAGAAAAAAAAGTGTTATTTACAGTGTTGCGTTTGCATTCTTATCATCATTGTTTGTTGGTTGACATTTTGTGCTCTTCTCATGTTTGCAGATATCTTTTTATTAGTTGTTATATTTTTTAAAAATATTATCAAACATAGTCTGTCCCACCCTTTGTTTTTTTCTGTACCTTCATCCTTACTATTTTTTTACATGGATGTGGCATTGCTTTCCTGTTGGGATTCTTACTTCATAGTCTGTTCCTCTAACCTATAGTCCTGCCAGTTTCCTTTCACTGTTCCTGTGCCCTTTTGCTGTGTTTGTTAGGTAATGTTTACTCTTATGCTGCCTGTATGTTATCTTGAAGTTATTTCCATATTACCTGCTAGGACTGAATTTGCTTGGCTGCCTCTTACTCCTTTTTATCAAGTTTCCTTATTTCTGTAGTTCCCCTTTCTACAGCAGAACTCAACTGAGAATTTTCTTGCTGTTTCTACAAACCATGAACATGGCAGTCCTTATTAAGCTTATTAACAGCTCCTTGGATTTAGTATTTTGAACAGTGCACTGCTCAAGGCCAAATCAAAGAGGGTATGTCTCTTCACACACTTCCTAAGCCGTTTCATCGATTTGTTAACTATGTTGGCTTTTGTCCACATAAGGGTTGGGTTTTTTTACTGATAGAATAGAGTATCATGTTTTTAAATAAAAAGCTGGGACAGCTGCCTTTGCAGTGGTTCCTATAAGCAAACATGAACTGGTTATGCTTCTTTTGGGGTTTACAATTTCATAGTGCAAAAGGTTTCTCAGGAGAAATCTGAAAACCCATATGTGAAGTATTACTTAAAATCTTGAAGATCTTCATAATAAAGTAAACAATAAATGGAAGCCTAGTGTTTTTTTCCTTTGGGTTGCCTTTAAAAGAAAATCTGGGGGACATGCAACTGTTTTTCTCTTAAGGTCTCCCATTTGTATGAACAGAAGTTGATAAATTCTACAGATCTAAAGAGATGATTGTTGTGTTCCATTATAGGGGGAACTCTTCCCTGGTTCTAACAAAAGTATAGTATGTATTGGTTCGAGTTTTTTCTGTTTCTTTTCCTCTTTCCTTATTAGCCCACTTGCATGGAGCTGCCAGAGGAGTTGTATCAGCTGGCAGACATCCAGAAGCTGTGAAGGGAGAAAGCAATAAAAGACTACAGGATGAATGAGAATGGTCTTTTGGTGAGACCAGCCATGGAATTTAGAAGAGAGAAAAAAATCCACAGAAGGATGGAAACTCCAGATATGACTGGGATTGATTTCCCACAAATAAAGCAGGCTCTCAAATCACATCCTTCAACAATCAGGATGTACTTTGTCAAAGAAGAGCTTGAAAATCAAAGTCGTGTGGTAGGACCTTAAAATGACCTCAAGCCGACTGTATGGAATGTAGTTTCTGACACAGGCAACTTGATGAGCTTATATTGGGTGTTTGGAGACATCCAAGTGAAAAAAAAAGGGGCTATTCCCCATGCAGAGGTGTCAAACAAATGCTCCTTGCTTTACAATAAGAGGTAAAGCCATTGTTGAATGGAAATAATAATGGTCTGTCTTTCAGAGGGAATTCCTGCTGCCTTTGACTGTTCTTCTCCAGGTCTTTTTTTGAGATCCTTTTTTTCCAAGAGCTGGTTTTGATTTTAAAACAGTGACTTTTGCTTTTCTGGCATTGTTACCAATGTTTTAAATTGTATTGGTTCTTTTGTTACTTGTTGCAGGTATGTAAACTTCTCATTAGAGTGGCCTTCTGAAAGCCGCACCCCGCTACCTCCGCTGTGCATCAGCGCTGCTGCATCCAGCTTGGGTAGATGAGGCTGTAACATACACGTGCTCTGTGCTATACACAAGTGTCTATGAACAGGGGGGCAGAAGCAGTTAAATTGGTTTAAAAGGTGTGTAGCAACCCTTTGCCAAGCAAAATAAGGTATTAAGGCAAAACTACTATTTACCATGTGACAAAATTAATGTGGGCCACGTCCGAATCTTGGAACAGTTTTACTGGCATATTGGTGAACGCTGGTGAACAACATGGAATAGGGAAGAATGGAAGAAGTCAGTGGTCACAGTGCCAACCAGACTGCAGTCCAAGAATAATCTGGGCATCAGGCTCCAAATGTGGGAATAGTAATGATACCAGGTTGGAAGGGACATGATGTCTGCATATGAGTACATGTCAGTACTTCTTTGAGCTGGCTTTCTTCAGATGTAAATTGGTGTGACTGTGCTTATGATGTACCTGTACTTATGATGTATCTGTCTGCATTTCTTTTAAATATTACTCGGGGAAATGTGTGGGGTTTTTTTCCTCTCTCCATAGAGCACTAGACCAGCACTAGACCTATTTAAATAGGTCTCTTCTTTGAAACTGCAGATAGGACTTGCTCACTTCTGAGAGTGACAGAAAAGTTGCCAGAAAAATTGCCAAGATTTGCTCTTTTTTTATTTATCTGAAGCAAGATTCTTTCAAGCAGTGATGGGATATCACTGATCAGTGAGATACCATGTGGAGCACTCCAGCTCTTCTGTGCCAGAGACAGATAAAGAGCAATTACATTTCATTTCCACAACCAAAACCATCTGGGTCCACCCAGTTCTATTACCAGAGAGAGAAAAAAATGGGAACACATCAAATAGTGGAAGGAGGGAGGGAAGAGTGGCTGGAAGATGAAGGCATTAAGTCTGGGATGTAGAAGAGTGGTCTGGAGTGTCTCTGTGCAGGATACAAACTTATTGCTGAAGCCACCCTTCTTGGTAAGACACTGAACTGCCTTCTCAGCCTCTTCCAGGAAGTAAATCTCTGGCTGGAACTGTATTAACATGGAATAAGGATTTCCAGGGAGGGATTTGACAGTCTAATTGCATCTGTGCCACTAGACTGATTTAAGTAGCAAATTCCTGGATAAACATGGTTGCAGCTTTTCCTTTGGTTCTCTTTTGGGACCAGCACAAAGAGAAGTAAGATTGGAATGGAGTATGCACAAGATTGAAAATTACAATTTTCTTAAAGGAGAAAAAAAAGGTTTTTTTTTTTAATGATCCACAAGTTCTTGTGCTGCTCAGTGCTAGCCCTGTCTAAGCTTGGTAAAAGTAACCAAACCATGCACACTTCCTGAACAACGCCAATTCCCAGCTGCAGGTAGGGACATAAGTACTACCACTAGTTCAGGACGACTCTAGTGAAGTTTCACTGGGGCAGTAGAGATGGTCTTAATTTTATTGCCTAGCAACTGTGTGTTATGGTTTAAGCCCAGCTGGCAACTAAGCACCACAGAGGCACTCCCTCAAACCCCCTCTTCTCTCCCCACCCCCTCCCCCCGCGCAGTGGAATGGGCAAGAGAACTGAAAGTAAAATTTCAGGGTTGAGATAAGAACAGTTTAATAATTGAAACCGAGGTAAAATATAGTAAGAAAGATAACAAAAAAGGAAAGAAAAACAAGCGATGCACGATACAACAGCTCAGCACTTACTGACCGATGCCAGACCGCCCTTCCCAAACCCAGATTGGCCCCCCTTCCAGGTAACTCCCCTCAGTTTACATCCTGGGCATGACATTCTATGGTATGGAATATCCCTTTGGCCAGCTCGGGTCAGTTGTACTGGCCATGCTTCCTCACAGTTTCTCTTTTGTGCACCTCTTCACTGCCAAAAATAGCAAACCAAAAAACTGTCCATGACTTGGGACAAATGCAATTTAGCAAACCCGAAAACATCAGTGTTTCATCCACGTTATTTTCATTCCGAATTCAAAACTCAGCAATGCAGCAGCTACTGAGAAGAAATTATCTCAATCCCAGCCAAACCCAGAATGCAGTGGTATCTACAGAGAAATGGAGTGACACAACTTAGCGATAAGCACAGTTTTTAACTCCACGCACTAAGTGGTCTGGATTAATTTAAGGACTTGCAGTAAATGCACTATTTAATGGTTCGGGGAAGCAGCGGTGCCGAACAGCCAACGGCCACAGCGTTGCAAAGCCTCTTTCCAATTAACCTTCGGGCCTATTTCGTCCTGGGACCCTCTGATGCAACTCTCCGTGCATGACAAAGCGAAGGCGGTGGAACGCACGTAGCCCCACGTGTCATAACCGTGACGGCGCCCCGGTGGACACAAGCCGCCTGCTCCCTGTAAGGAGCAGCCTCGGGAGACACGCCGAGCACACACAAATCCCCACCTGGGCCGGGGGTGTCCCGGGGGTCCGGACGGCATCGCGCCCGCCCCGCACCGCCTCAAGGGCGAGCGCGTCACTTCCGGGGCGCACCCGCCTCCTCGCGCCAGCATCGCGAGACCCCGCCCCGCCTCGCGCGAGACTCGCTGGCTCACCCGCCGCCTCGGCCGAGTCCCTTCGGCAATTTCCGTCATCTCCAGACCCTACCAATCGGCTGCGGGAGCGCATCGATGAGCGCGCGCCCCCCGCGGGGTCCGTGCGTGCCCGAGCCCCGCAGAGCGGGCCCGGGGTCCCTGCGGCGGCCGCGGCGGCGGGGGCGGGGCGGTGGGGCCGGGGTGCGGGTCCGGGGCGCCGGGGAGGCATGCGGGGTTCGATTGATCAGGCCTGGGCATGGCGCCTCTCCTCCCCCCCGCCATGGCTCCCCGTGTCCCTGCTCCTCTCCTCTCAGTGAGCGAAAGTGGCCGCCGCCGCCGTCCCAGCGCCCGCAGCCGCCGCCTCCTCCTCAGCACCAGCGCGGGCGCCATCTTGGCGAGGCAGGAGCCGGGAGCGCTCCGCGGCAGGAGACAGGCAGCGCCAGCCCCGGCAACGCGGGGCGAGAGGCCGGGTGGAGCAAGCGGGGGAGCGAGCCCGGGAGACACCCCCAGCCCCCCGCCACCGCCGCCGCCGCACCGCCGCCGGGCCCGCTACCCAGGTGAGCCACCGCGGCGACCGCGCAAGGACACGCGGGGCCGGGGCTACTGCGGGCGGCGGCGGGGGCGCCAGGCGGGCAGGCCGCGGCTTCACCCCCCGCGCCGACCGGCGGCCGCAGCAGCCGGGCCTCTTCTTAAAGTGACAGGCCCCTTCCCCGCCCTGCCCGCCGGATGCGCCCCGCGGTACCGGCGGGCGCGGAGCAGCCGCCCCCCACCCCCCGGCCCGGAGCGGCCGCCGGGCCCGGCCCCGGCCCCACGCGGGGGTGGGGGGGGGGGTGCGGGGGTGCCCCGCGCTCCCGGGGGCGCACGTGCGAAGGGCGGCGCGTGCGCGGCGGGCCGGGGGGGGGCGGGGGGGGCGCCCCGCGAGGGCGGTGGCGGCGCGGCCGGGCCGGGAGCGCCGCGTCACCGGCGGGAACGCGCCCGCGGGAGCGCGCCCGGGGCCGGCGGGTCTGGCGGAGCGCGGCCCCCACCCCGGGAGCCGCGGGGGGGCCGGGCCGGGCCAGGCTGGGCCGGGCCGGGCCATATGTGGCGGCGCTACCCGCACAGCCCGGCGGAGCGGGGCCGGGGCGGCCCCGGCCCCCCCCGGAATGACCGCCGGCACCTGCAGGAAGGGGCCGCCTGCCAGGCTGGTGTCGGTGGGGATGGAAAGTATCTGTCGGGTGTACATGAAGCACAGTTCAGTGTTGTGCTTGCCCTGGTGAATGCGCACGCTAGGAAGCACCTCTTTAAAGCTGGGGTGTAAAGTCTACTCCTGTTTCACTGCAAACACAGTCTAACGCAATTTCTGCCCATGGTTTAGCATTATGCGTTACTTTTTCATTAGCTGTTGCCAATCTTTCATGTTGGATTTCCTCCTCTGCGGTGCTGCACATAGTAATAAATTCCTTTATTTTCATCTTTACATGAAAAGAATGGTGCAGGACAAGTTCCTTTTTTGTAGTGAAATGTCTTTATATGCATAATTAGAATTTTAGTTTCCTGTCTTACAAATACATCTACTGTATGGATTTGTACAGGACATCTGATATGCCTGCTTGTATGTGACGAACACATTTCTAACTTACACGAATTAGAAATTATCTATTTGTGTTGTCACTTCTTTAACTTGTATGTATAGCAGTATGTCATGACATTGGGATGTTAATAAGGTAAGGAAAAGTATAAGAAATAGTAGCTTGGAACTTTTCCCAATGCCTAAGAATTTTCCTGTAATTCTTTTCTTCTCTGTTTCTCACATGTATGTTGTTGAAGTTGCTTAAAATATTGCCTCACACTTCTTGACCGTTCAAATGAGCAGGTTTTATGCCACTCAGGTATAACATAATAAGCTGTAAGTTCTGTAATAAGCATGCTCTTTGACAGGCTAAACTATGTGCTAGAGATTGATTTAAATGGCAATAAGAAAATGGTCTTTTAAAGCTTTTTTGGACATAGTTCCCTTTTCGTGGTCTAGGGTGGAGGGAGTAAAAACTAAACAAAACTGAAAACATCCATAAAGTTGGTGTTTTGTGTAAGTGGCAATGTGTGAAGGTAGCTGTTGGTGCTGTTGTGTAGAGCAGAGGGTATAAATGCATTGTCAGAGGTCTCCACTAATACTGCTAACTGCTTTTTTGGGAAAGAATTGCTCTAATTGAAACATTAAATATTTAGATTTGTTTTTCTGCTAGTTTTAAACATGTAAGCAGAGCTGTGACATACCAGCTTTTGTGTTCAGTATGTTTTAAGGTATTCTGTTATTCACTTATGTGTACCCTTCTGATACATTGTTGTATAGCTTTTCTCTTAAATAATAAACGAAGTCCTATTTGTTACTGTTCTTTTGGGCAATTGTAAAATTCAAAGCCAATGCCCTACTGTCTCTTCTCTCTGTTTAAAAGTGATTAAAAGATAGAACACAGATCAGTGAAATGCTGTCTTATTCCTTGCAAAACAATATAAAACCTTACTACAAAAGCAAACCAGCAAGGTAAAGTATCTAGTTTACCTATATTTCATTACTCAGAAAAGCAATTAAAATGGCTTTTTTTAATTTCAAACTGAAGTGATGCAAACTCACAGTTGAGTTTTTATATGCGTGTCTTTTATTTGTTCAACTTGAGTTTAGTGAAGATTGAAGACTTTAGGTTCATAGGAAATATCCTATCTGCTTTTTTAAAGTCATAATCTCCCACGTATCCAAGTTATATTTAAGACACTGCCATTAAAAAAGTATGTATGGGAATTATGTTTTGCTTTAAAATGTGGTATACAGTGTAGTCTGGAAAATGGTTGTTAGTGCAACACTACCAAAGGGAGCTAAAATGTGAGCAGGGAAAGGAGAGCATATAATTCTCCTCCAAGCAAAATACCTCTTCAAGTTTTTTATATCACCACAATTGTCTGTACTGGAGATTATATGCCTGTAAAGAAGTCTGACAAAGATATGCCTGGCTGACATTACTGTGCTAATGTAAGGTTTCCATACAGACCTTGACTGAATCTTCTGTTTGGATATGTATATTTGTGCCAGAGTTTATTCTGGAGATCTTAATACAGGAAAATCTCAGAGTATTCTGCTATTCCGGAGAGAGTTTAATGTCTCAATTGTAAATTTCTTCAAGAACAAAATGTATTTTAGGTGTTTGTATCAGTTTGGAAAATCTCTCTTAATAAGTTGGTGTCAAAATCCAAAACTGCTAAAATTGCGAGGTAACTAAGGTAACATGAAAGGTTGTGTTCTCGCTTGCAGTTTTTAGTTCTACACTATGGATAAAACTTTCGATGCTGTAAATTGAGAGATGAGGAATACATACCCTCTGGGATTTCAGGTTTTTGTCCACTTGGATGTTTTGTCAGTGTGCTTACACTGACTGGACAGAAGAGAGAAAAGAGACTGCTTCTGTGGGCTGAATACTGGAACAAGTAAGTAGTGGAGCTCAGCTGCCAGCTGGTCACGCTTCATGTACATGCACTTAGTATGTGGCAGGCAAGACTGAATTAGTTTTACCTGCCTGTTTTGCTTTGCATTTGTCATAGGCTAAGAAGAGGTACTTTGCATTAGCTGCTATCTTGTACCTTTTCCTTCCATGGCAGCTTGAGTTTGCGTGTGTGCCCTCAGCTAGGAGTGTAGTCATCATTATTTACTATGATGGTTAACATTAGGCATAAAGAGCAGAAAAAGTAATCCTTTGGGCCTTACGTGAGGTGTAGAGGTGACAACCACTGAAGGGAAAACCTCCCAGAAATTCCTGGAAGAAAAAGTACTGCTTCAAAGAGCTCTGCAAAGCAAATCCCATCTAGCTTGCAGCTAAGTACAAAAGCCAAATTTTGCATTTACTACTGACAAGTCTCCTGTTTAATTTGGTATCAGTAGGAAAAACTTGCTGGACTTCCATTCAGAAATAGTCAGTGGATATTTGTTTAAGTTGGGAGAGTCTATTTCTAAAACTAAGCTGCTTCATGAGACCACCAGTGTTTCTGCTGTTTGGTTGGTGCAGGTTGATGGGTATAAAACTTAGAAACCTTGTTATGAAACCTAACTCTGCTCTCAGAATACATCCTTGGAGGATTCTTCTGCAATGCTGGCTGTTAACTTACTGAGTACGTGTAAAATGGGCAGACTTGAAAAAACAAGAATGAGTGAAGAAACCCCACAACTACATTAAAAGTGAACTAAGCAATATGATTTAAAACAGGATAAAGAAGGCTTCTTCAGAACTGAACTTAGATATTAAAAAAATGCATATTATTATGGAAGTTATTTGCATGAAGTTTTCATATTCCTGATGATATTTTACATATGCTTTTTATAATTCAGCAGTCCATATGATATAATTAAATGGTTTCAGTGTGACCTTCTGAATAAGAATTTAGAGGATTCAAAGTGCCAGCCAGGCAGTGCAGAAGTTATTTGATTCCAAATTCCAGGTTTCTAAGTTGTTAAAACTCTACAGGAGAGGAAGGGAGAAAGCAAATAGCTACTGAATTTGAGACTGAAACTTACCATAAAATTGGCATGTATCAGTAAAAAAGTCATGATGGCTGAAGGATTACTCTGCAGCATTCGGTCGTTTTACCACCTGTAACATATGAGTATTTACCTAAATGTTTTATCAGGAATGAAACCATTTCGAAAATCTGTGTCTTTGCAATCTTCCTTAAACCGAGTAGGCAGAAGGATAGATTTGTTTCAAAAATGGCAAATAAAAGTGGAATGAACGTCATCACCATGTAAATCCACTGAAGCAATGCCTGTGTGATGTC